AGCAGGAATAGGGGCAGATGAAAAATAAATTTTACAAGGATTGAAGATGGAGAGAATTTTATTTTCCCCCAAACTCACTAGGCTGAATATGTGTTTGGGGTTTTTAAGCACACAAGTTCAATTCTCTTAAATTGTTTCCATAGTGCTATATACAAATACATCAATGATTTCAGGGAAAAACAGACAAAACCCTGAGAACCCAACACGTTAGAGGGAGATAAGAGTTGAAAACAAATATACAAGCTGTAGCCTTTGAAGAGAGGTGACTATTATGAATCTGAGACATCCAGGTCAGGAGTATGGTCATCCAACGCTCCCTCGGCAATCAGCGGAGAGCCAGGGATACTTTTGGGATCAGTTTGGTCCCTCCTGGTCAAAAGCACTTTTTGAAGAAGCCCTTCTTTTCCCACTGACCACAGAAGGAGGCCAAGGATGACTATGCACATAAATTAGGCACCTCCATTAGGTACCCAGAATTAAGTGGGACAGCTCTTCTCAGGAGTGGGCAGAACACTGAAGTGCGGAAAGCGCTGCCTGGAAGCCAGTGCTCCTTTAAGAGAACAAGAAGTGGTCCAGAAATGCCCAAGAAATGGTCCAGGGCTTAACTGAGGAAGCAAAATAGCCCAAGAAGCAGTACTGGGACTGAGAGGGTGTGTGAGTAACCACAGACTGCTTGCATGTGTGACTCTGAATGGGTATTCAGAGAATGGAGAGAAAAAACTTGGAGGAGTAAGTTCAGCTCAGATAGAAGGTGGAGAAGGAAAAATGCAAGGCAGGAAACCAGCAGAAGACAGTGGATGATGTAAACAGCCAAATAATGGGATGCAGAAAGCATAAACAAACAAACAAACAAACAATATAACATAGCGGAAGGAAGGAAGGAAGGAAGGAAGGAAGGAAGGAAGGACACAAAAAAGGAAACCCTGCATTTTTAAAGCTCACTAAATAGATTTAACAACATATTAATGATGGTTGGCAATACTATGATTAAATGTATGCCTACAAACAGCATGCAACTGCTTAAAACTGCAGAGGACGGTTGTTTTGTGGCATGACACCGCAGGTATTTTTTCACCTGTACCGGCAGGTTTCATTCTTTCGCCAGGTGGTCCGGGAAAGCCGTTCAAACAGGGAACGCCTACCTCAGCTGCTCAGTCAGAATCTGTAAGACAGCCTCCGTACAGGACCTGAGACATGATAATTCTTAACTGGAACGAAAAACGAAGGATGGATCTGCAGATGAACTCTTTTAAGAATGGAAGAAATACAATGATAGGATTCACCGATGATTTTCCACAATGTAAGTGAAAGGACGCAAGAATTGAAGTGCGATGGGAGAGACTGGGAGAACCTACGAGGATGTCACTTTACCAGTACTCAGAAGAAAGAAAAATAGTGAATTCACAAAACAAGTCTGTCAGGGAAAGGATCTGAGGGGCATTACAGCGTTAAAGGAAATCAATTAAGTTAATTCTAGCTAAAAGGTG